GATGCCATGGCACTCTACCCAGGGGGACAGCTTGAGGCTCTGTCTCAAAAAAAATAAAATAAAAAAGAATTTGAACTATAAAAAATGTCAGAACACAAGGTAACATGAAGCTTGAGGAAGAAATGTAGAATTGTTCAAGACAGTGTAAAATCTGGCAAAAGTTTAATTTTGGTGTAGCTGTATATAAAAACTCAGGTCTTCATGTCCAAAATAGCTAACTAGGAGATATGCTCCCTTATATCTTAATTTCCAACCTTTATGGTTGACTATTGGAACAGATCTCAACCAATGATACAGTTCCCCACTTCACCTTTCTCACATTCAAAAGATCTGTGGGCCCTAGAAAAACGGAGCTAACTAACACACAGGTCCTAGTTAAAGGTTGCACTATCTAAATTTAAGTCATCTCAGAAAGAAAAAAACTCACCCTTCAGTAAATATGGTTCCATTTACCCACCGTCCTGTACGATTTTCTTTCATCTTCAGCCCAATCCAGTGATCAGAAGTACATTTGAACCGACGAAGAAAAGACTTTAGAGATAAAATTAGTTAATTTCAAACTTTTACTTTTCAGTTGATCCTATAATTTTTTACATGTCCCATTAAATACCTCTTAACTTTGCAAGTTGTGAGATACAAGGCAACAAATTTTTAATTTCTGACGTCAATAGAAAATAGCTATGGAATTTTTTAAAGTACTTCTTATTTCTCTACCCTACAATTTTCTTCTTTGTAAAAAAAAAAAAAAGATATAGGATATAATTTCTTTAGATTCTTTTTGATTGCAAACTGATAAAAATATTTAACTTGAAAATCTATTTCTCCAGAATTTTGAAACGGTTAGCTCCTGGAAAGCCAAGATTTATAATTGAGTTCTCACATATCATTCCTAATCATCAGATATTTATTATAGTGCTTTTACATTTCTAGTAAATACCAGTATTTTCAGTTTAGTATTATGTTTTACTGAGATTTGAACAGATCATGATGTTCTAGGTGGATTCACAAATAAACTAGACTGATATATAAATACAACTTTGTTTCTTTTCTCAAATAGCTTATTCTTCTTCATGTCTTTCATAATTTTATTTTCTGTCTCTTCCATTATTGAGTTAGTACAATTTCTCTCCCCAAACTGCATGCATAAATGCAAACACACACACCTCTCACATATGCAATTCTCATTTTGGGGTTTGCATCTGAATTGGGGTCAGCCTTGATGTCCTATACCTGGACTAGTCTTTGCTTCAGGCTTTGTTTCATGTTACATCAAAAGTAACACAGTGATAAAAGTAAGAAGTAAATCAAAGCAATTAAGGTTGTTAGTTAAAGAAATAGTTTGGTTAGAAAATGCAAGCCCAACAAGAACTATGACATAAGGGTTTAGCCTCCCCTTTCCTTCATTCCCCCCTTAATGTTAATTTCAAACTTTTACTTTTCAGTTTTCACTATGATTTTTTTTTCACATTTCCCAGTAAATACCTCTTACTATCAAAGTTTACTTTTCTACCAAACATTTAAATTTATAAATACATCATTGGGGGATATATATAGTATTTTTTTCTGACATTTATCTTTCTATGCATCATATAACTCTCCTGCTAACCTAGACTTTTGTTTGTTTTCTTTGTTTTTTTTTTTTTTTTTTAGCATAGAATTATATTATATGGAGAAAGTCCTTGAGTCTGCTCTGTTACTAAATAGCTGGGAAAGTATATGCTTAACATTGTAGTGTAACTCCATGTTTCAATTTTATGATGAATATGAAGGAGTTAGGCCAGATCAAAGAGCTATGGTCAAATCCTATCTAGTAACAAAGATACTTATAGCTTTGGCATTTCAATATATCATCTTTTGCAGCATTTCATAAATTTCTTTGAAAATAATTCAATTCTTTGGGTTAGGCTATGGGTTTACAAAGAAATAGACTAATGCAACATTGTCCCTGGATTCAAAGGACTTCATTTGTAGTGAGGAAAATTATGTAAATATAACATTAGAAGATATTCTACTAAAGAGAAGATAGTCATCATAATAAATTCAAGGTGAAATTGTAGTTTGAGGAAAGCAACATCTGAGACTTCAAGGGAAACTTTCATTTAGGATATGCTCTTAGGAAAGAATGCAAGATTCCATGGTAGATACAGGGAACAATGAAGTGGGCAACTCATATTCTAGGCTTAGGAGAGAGCCTACATGAATGCAAAAAAAAATGTAAGAAATGATACATAGATTAGAAATTAAGAGAAATCAAGAAATTTCACCCCAGAATATGTCTCCACGATACAAAAAGTATTTTGAATAAAAGGCCTTTTGGAGATCAATAGGCCTTTGGAAATCATTTTCCTTCTATCTGCATAACCAGAGGGACCCATAGAAAGAATAATGCACTTCTATTACTTGTAATATCACTATATTTCAGAAAAGAAAATCAAGAACACAACCAAACCTGGCTCAAATTATTTTAAATATAATACCTGTCTCTCAAGGTTAATTTGCAAAGAGAATCATTTACAAGTCAATCTATTTCCTCCATCCATTTATCCTCCTTAGGAACTATTGCCCCTAAACAGAATTCCTATATTTATCATCTTCCTGGCTCCTCCAAAAACAGTATATAAAAATAACTCTATTCCACTGGGATATGGGATAATCACTCTGTGATTCTCCCCATGCACACAGTAAATAAATTTTTTCCACTTATGAATTTTCCTTCATTGTGAGTTGATCTTTCAGAGAATTTTCGGGGGAGAGGGGAAGTTTCCCCTCACCCTCGCTGAAGCCAATAGGGTACATATTATTGGCTAAATAGGAATTTTCAATGACACTCAATGGTCTTGGTGACAGAGAACTGGGTGGTGTGTTTCCCAGAGCCTGCTACGTGAAAAATGTTAACCAGTATTTGCTCAATAAAGCAATGCCCTATTTAGTTCCTTGTTAAAATGCAAGAATTATAAATTGGTGGAAATAAATATGAAAAATATGTTATAACAAACTTCATGCAAACTTATGTAACTTAGAAAAACATTATAGTTCAAAATATACAATATTTTAAACAATTTTAAATAAACAATCTACTAACAGTCTTCTATAAATTACTTCCTCACTCCTTCACAGACAGCTTTACCTCATTCCACTTATCACTTAAACTTTTCCAGTGTGTGTAGTTCATTAGCTATCTATGATCTTCAAAATACATCAGTATATTTTATGATCAGTCTTTTGATCCAGACAATACAACCGTTCTTCCCTGATACATTTAATGATTTCTCCCAGATTGAACGTTCATTATTCTTATGTACTTCTTTGTGTTCCCCGATATTTACTATTTTTGTCAATCTTTGTTGACAGGATTCCTATAGTAAGTATTGTTTAATATTGATTGTGTTTTCATTTCTTTATCCTTCCAAATTTTCATTAACACTTTCTTGCTGCTAATTTCGCTTTCCTTCCTTCAAGAGGAGCTATAAAGGAGCAGTCAGAGGATTTTTTTAGAACGTTCATATTCAAAACTTCTGCAAAATTCAGCAGTGATACCACTGGCTATGGAAGCCCTTCCTATTAAATTATGCTTCCACCTCAGTTCTTCAGTCTTAACACATTTAGCTTTTCTTTCCTTTTCTTATTTTTTAGACAGAGTCTCACTCTGTCACACTGGGTAGAGTGCTGTGGTATCATTATAGCTCACAGCAACCTCAAACTCCTGGGCTCAAGTGATCCTCTTGCTTTAGCCTCCTGAGTAGGCAGGACTACAGGCACCTGCCACAACACCCAGTTATTGTTTCTATTTTTAGTAGAGATGGGGTGTCATTGTTGCTTAGGCTGGTCTCGACTTTCTGAGCTCAAGCAATCTACCTGTTTGGCTTCCTGAAGTGCTACAATTATAGGCTTGAGTAACCTTGCCTACCCCACATCTAGCTTTTCATGTTTTATTAAGCTTTCCATAATGTTAATTGCTTGAAAAATAGTTTAGTTTCCTTGAATTGATCTATAAATGAACCAGCCTGATTCACATACATTTAAATATGAACCAATCTTCAGGTAGATTGTATAAATCTACTTTGCTCACCACAGAAATAACACACAGCTGTCTTTTAACAATGTTGAATGTTGTGCTGTTCTGCTTCACATGAAATACTTCTTGATTGCTCATTATTTGACAAAAAAATTAATCAAGTTATATTACCTTTTATGTATTATAAGTCTCTTAAGGAGATTAAATAAAGGTAAAGACACAGCATTACCATTTAAGGGAGTAGGGGAAAGAACAAATTTCAAATACAGAGGTACCATTTTACTATCCCTTGCTAAAAAGTTCTTGGAAAGTTTTCTTACTCAAAGGGATTTTGTCATGTAAATGACAAGGATCCATTAGACTTTTCATTTGATCTGATTTTGTGTGATATAGCCAAGGATGCAGTTTCAGACAAGACATAGGGTAGAAGCTCATATTTTGGTCTGGGGAAATTTTTGATTTCACTTTTGCAATAGTGGTAGAAAGCATTTTGATGAAGTGTTCAAACGGTAAAGCAAGGTAAAGAATAAAGAAGAATAAATTTCTTCAAAGCAAGTATAATGGAGAACTGCCTTCTTCCTGAGGGAATTCCCTTTTCTTCGTAGAGTAGAAGATCTCCAAATATTAACAATCTCTTCAACTTACAGTCTTTAAAATACAAAGCTAAATATCAAGTCTATTACTTGATGTAAGTCCTACACTTTTCAAAGAAAACATCCCCATCTCATACAGCATATTCTGAACACCTTCAATATTTTGCATAGATAGGCATGAGTGAAAAGTTTTTCAAACTGTAATGTTATTTAAATACTTCTAATGCTTCAGAGCAAGGTAATTCAGAAGGAATACATATTAAATTACTTACCATTTCTTTCTCACTGTCAATTGTCGTTAGGTCAGCATGTTCTTTGGAACAGTTGCCTCTACTTGATTCCCAATCCCCTTCTTTTTCAGAGAAATAATAACACTTGTCTTGGAAACCAATCCAATCATCTGGGCAAAAACTTCGAGGATATAAAACTAATACAACTGAAAATAAGACAAATACATATTCTAAAAACCATATAAAATAATATGCTACTGTATTTTTGAATCATTGGAGAAAGGTAGAATTGTGATGTAAAAGATTATGTTCATAACCAGATTTGTCTATCTTTCACATAATAGGTTGAAAAAAATTATACTCCTTTAGTTATGTTAGGTAAAACATAATAGGTTGAAAAAATTATACCCCTTTGGTCATATTAGGTAAAACATAAAAGTTTAGAATTTAACAGGGCCCTTACATTCCTTTTAACTCAACCTTAGTGACATACAAGCATTCCTTACTGGAAAACCAGTAGTATTCTACTTGTATGCATCAACCTTGCCATTTCTGGGTAAAGGAAATATAATGAAATCTCATTCTTGTAATCTCTGAATTTTGGGTGGATTGCTTGAGTTCGTGAGTTCGAGACCAGCCTGAACTAGAGTGAGACCCCATCTGTAAAAAATAGCCAAGTGTTGTGGCAGACACCTGTAGTCCCAGCTACTCAGGGGGCTGAGGCAAGAGAATCGCCTGAGCCCAAGAGTTAGAGATTGCTTTGAGGTGTGATGCCATGGCACTCTACCGGGAGCAACAAAGTGAGACTCTGTTTAAAAAAAAAAACCAAACTTTATTTAGACTGTAATAAATCTAAGATACATGCGTCAATATTCAAGAAAATAATTAAAACAATAAAACAGAATATGTAACAAGACACTAGATTTCCTGTTGTCAGTGAGGTACCATTATCACTGTGTAGTTCTAGGTTGGTTAATGAAAGGAACCCACGTGAGATTGAGAAGGTAGAACTAAAGCCAAAGATATCATTCTTACAGACCCTGAGGTAGGGACTTTACAGACCTTGTAGTTCTCCTCTTGCACTCTTGGCAGCTAGATATCTTAGCTTCTAAGAATTTCCTCTAGTATTATCTATGTTCTCTAAACACATTGGCACCTCAAGCCAGTATCATTAGTGATAATTTCTCCTCTAGCCTACAGCACTAGACTTCAGTTATGCATTAGTCCCCAGATTCTCTCACATAATTTCTATATCCAAGTCTTATTCTTAATATGTGTTTGTTTTTCTGAGCACACACAGAGTGAATCAGTTTTTGATACCAAGAATGATACTAAAGGAACAGAACCTTAATGATGAAATATGATTCTGGTTTTCCAATATCATTCACTTTTAAGGCACTGGTCCAATTATCAGTTATGAATGCAACACTGGTGGCCTATGGGGCACAATATCAAAATAATTAGCTAAATTGTCACCTACTGTCAACATGTAAGGATAATCATATCTGAACACCAGGACTAACAAAGCTAAGCCAATTGACACACCTAAAGAGCTAGGTACAACTAGCTATAAAATACACATTCTTTTTAGGTAGGTATAGAACAGATACCATGATACAGGACAATAAAGTGGAAACTAAATTTTTAAAAGATTGAAGACATTTACAGTGTGTCATGTGACTGTAGTAGAATTAAGCCATATGTCAATAACAAAAATAAAATTAGAGTATCACAAAACTTCTAAATTAAACAAGGCAAGGCTAAACAGCTCACAACTCAGAGAAGTCATCATGGGAAGTAGAAAATACTTTGAACTGGAGGACAGCTATGCTCTAAATTGTGGTGTATCTAGTATGTGTTATGTATATATACCCACACACCATATATACCATGTCAATAATACATACAGTATATATATACACATATACACATATACACACACAAACTTAAGGGATAACAACTAAACTTTTGAGACACAACATGTTCCTTTAAATGTTAGAGGGAAATTAATGTTTTTATAAAAAAAAAAGATAGATTTATTGAAAAGACAAATATCACAGAAAGTTAGTAAGTGATGAATTAAAGCTCAAGTAGAATGACAATTTTTTTTAAAAAAAGAACAAAAATCAATTGACTAGCAAATCACTGTAATTTAGCAAAATTCAAGAAGTCATCAGTTGGCTTTTGTTGAATAAGCTCACCTACAATAGACCAGTAGGAAAACTTTATTTTTTTAATTTTAAAGAGAGAAATAAAAGCACAAATTAGCAATACCAGGAATGAAAACATAGAGAAATTCTTAGAATAACACAATTTTTTGCACAACTTACGAAGAAAATGTAGTTTATCTTAGTATTTCAATAATAATCTAGTTTGACACACATTTTCCCTTTCATATAATACTGATGTCAGTGATTAATACTGAGACTGCACTGCCCTCTAAAATTGAGTTGGAAAATATTCCATACTATTCTATTTTCCAAAATAAGTAATCACACAATTGAAAGCCACAAAAAACAAACAAAAAAAAGTGAGATAATTAAGGATGAAACTTACCATTTATAGTCACTATTACAGTAATTACAATAATTATAAAAAGAGCAATAGTTGCAATAGTCTTTTTATGTCTGCCCATAGCACCTGAAAAATAAAAATAAATACATGTAGTAAACTTCTGGTTCCAAGATGATGGTGTAGAAACAAGCTAGTTTCACTCTTCCATATAACAAACTAACAAGCAAACAGAAAAACAGCACTGAGATTATCACCAGTAATATCCCAGAACTCAAATATGAGGATGATTCAGTTCCTGGAGTAGGTGGGCCCACTCTCCTCAGGCCTGGAAACTCCTTTCTGTTACTCAAACAAAAAAGATGCTAAATCAGGTTTGATGTTCAGCAGCTACACAGTAGGAGATTTGTTTTGCAGGTCCCCTGGAAATAAACCACTAACCAGCCTTGCCACATTACCACAATAGTTTGGGACTTCCCCTACTTGCTTATTAGAACTGAGGCTGACCTCGAATAAAGCGCCATGTAGTCATGAGGAGGCAGGAACCTAGTAGGAAAAAAAAAAAGAAAAAAAAATCAACAAGTAAATTACAAAGACTATTTAAACCAACATATCCACTATAAATCAAAGAAAGTCAAATAGAGAAGAGTGGAATAAATAGCTAATTCTTCAACACAAAGACATTGGTGTATATCTACAAGGAACAACAACAAACAGGAAACAAGAACCTCAGTGGACAGAACTTCAGGTCCCAGAGCTATGACCCAGTGACTGATCATACTGAGACAGCAGTATGTGTGCTCTCTGACCAAGAATTCATAATAGCAGTTTTAAAGACACTCAGTGATCTCCAAGATAACACAGAAAAAGCAATTCATAAATTTATCAGGGAAATTTAACAGAGAGATTTAAATAATAATAATAATAAAATCCAGATTTGCAGGGCTTGGTGGCTCATGCCTGTAATCCCTGCACTTGGGAGGCGGAGGCAGGTGGATTGCCTTAACTCACAGGTTCAAGACCACCATGAGCCAGACCGAGACCTCATCTCCAAAAATAGCCAAGCATTGTAGTGGGTGCCTACAGTCCCAGCTACTTGAGAGGCTAAAGGAAGAGAACTGCTTAAGCCCAAGGGGTTGAGGTTGCTGTGAACTATGATGGCACAGCTCTCTACCAAGGGTGACAAAGTGAGACTGTGTCAAAAAAAAAAAAAAAATTCCAGAATCTTGGAACACAGAAATACTTTGCCAAGATGAAAAATTCATTAGAGGCTCTCAACAGCAGAATGAATCAAGTCAAGGAAATAATCAATGAGTTTACAGATAGCATATTTGAAAATATAGTCAGAGAAGAAAAAAGAATAAAAAAAGAATGAAGAATGCCCACAAAAAAAAAAAAAATATCTAAGTATTAAGCATTGGTGTTCAAGAAGGTGTTGAGCAAGAGAAAGGGTAAGAAGTTTACCCAAAAAGGTAATAACAGAAAGTTATCTTTCTAATAACGTTTAGAAAGAGATAAATATCTAGGTAGAGAAAGGTGAGAGAATGCCATACAGATTCACCACAAACAAGATTATCCCTAGGTGTATGATAATCAAACACTCAAAGGTCAAGGACAAAGAGAACACCCTAAAAGTATCAAGACAAAAGAAGCAAGGAACACTTAAAGGAGCTCCAAGTCTGGCAACAGACTTCTTGATGGAAACCATATGGGCCAGGCAGGACTGGGAT